CCTTTACAACAAATAGACTTTTGCATAACATACAGATTCGTTCCAACGATATGACTTTCCTTTTTCTCAAATGACTACCGACTATGCATTTATTATAATAATTTAAATAAGACAACAGGCGATATTTATCGCAAATATTCAGCGTAAATCTTATCACATCCCTAGCAAGCTGTCCCCAATTATCAAGTTTCGTTTGGCTTTTATTTCCTTGAAACTTTATGCACAATCTTTGCATCGTTTTTTATTTTTAAATAATAGGTAGCATGACTTACGAAGCTAACAGCTTGGGAATTTTAACAAAAAACATAACAACTATGCGTTAACTTCAACATTTATGTCTTAAGTGAAACAGAGAGGAAGATTCCCTTTTTTACATTTAAAGCAATAAATTTATATTTTTAAAAATGTAATGATTTAGGCATAATAATGCTTCATTGCTTCATTTACTTGTGTTAAAGTCAATGTTTTCTTCGAGTTAACGATCTCTAATGTCCATGTAATAACACAAATTTTCTGTCGTATATCAGTAACTGTCGCCGCCGACAATATGTGCGAAGACGAGCCTGTTTTACCTCCTGCATTTTGGATATTAAAATGTGCAGTCATGCATCGGCACATATTGTCGTCGGCGACAATATGTACTGTGAACATTTGCACATTTTATCGCCGATTTATTGTTTTGACTAATATGAACTAGGATCCTGAAAAGAGAGAGAGAGAGAAAAAAAAACGGAGACACACGAACATGGAGGGATATAGACATCATTTTACTTGCAAAACTGTAGTGAGAAAACTTTTTGTTCAGAACATTGGGTCTAGGAACGTGAACACGACTATGATATGCCAAGATACTGGAATTCTTGATTTACTCATTAATCAGCATATTCTATTTTCTCATTATACATGCATATATTTGGAGATTGAAAGTTACTTTTTATGTTCAGTAGTAATAATCATCTGGATAATATTTCATTGTTATTCATATACATGTACTGCTATAATTGTGGTTGGGGTCGACAATTTTTTTTAAAGTCTTCTCATTAAACTTGCTTCTATAGTAGTTACATGTATATGAAATTGGATAAAACTTTTAGTGCACTAGATTTCAGTATACTTTTTCAGAGTAAAATTGATATCAGGAGACAAAAGGTTTAAAAATATCCAATTAAAGATATCTGTACATGTATGTACAATTTGTCTGCAACCTAGCCTCTTCGACTTTCCCGATCATATCATCATCATTATCATCTACAACTGTTACAACCACAATTGAAATAACGACCACTATTGAAATAATTATTTCAATAGTGGTTGAGAATGCATTTCAAAACCAAACACTGGTTGTAACCACTATTGAAATAACGTTCACTATTGAAATAATTATTTCAATAGTGGTTGAAAGTGTATTTCAAGACCGAACACAGGTTACAAGCACTTGAAATAACGTTCACTATTGAAATACGTATTTATATTATTTATACGTGTAACCACTATTGAAATAACAACCTCTAATGTTATAACGCTTATACTTAGTTTTTCCGAATGGTTGATTTTAATGTATTGACGAGTTCTATTCTATATCCTTTTGATTAAAAATATTCATGTTTTCATCAGAAGTTTTGTACACATAGATGTCACATAAATGTCTTCGTTCTTCTTTTTAATGTAGATATTCTAATTTGTACAACTATCTGTATTTATAATCTTTTACTATCCGCTATTGAAATGACTTTTACTTTCCCCATTTAATAGCAAAGATGATCCTTATATAACAAAATTACTTAAAATTAATTTTTTTAAATCAGTTAAGCCACAAATATCCGTGAATTAAAAGTATTTCTAGACAGAGATTAAATCATAAAATTAAACATCATATTTCAAACTCAATAAATTCATTTATTATGTTGGAAAACACAATGAAGAATTTATCCCATATATATATATATATATATATAGATATAGATATAGATATATATATATATATATATATATATATATATATATATATATATATATATATATATATATATATATATATATATATATATATATATATATATATATATTCAATACTGGGTGTTTATTTAAATAAGGTTTGTAATGCGGTTTTGGTATTGAAATCATTGTCAGCAACTATTGAAATAATTCTTGAAATCATTATTTCAATCACTATTAAAATTTTATTTCAATAGTGAGCTTAATTTCAATAGTGGTTGCAACCTGTGTTCGGTTTTGAAATTCATTTTCAACCACTATTGAAAAAATTATTTCAATAGTGAACATTATTTCAATAGTGGTTGTAACACAGGTTGCAACCACTATTGAAATAACGTTCACTATTGAAATAATTATTTCAATAGTGGTTGAGAGTCAAAACAAAACACAGATTGCAACAACTTTTGAAATAACGTCCACTTTTGAAACAATGATTTCAATAGAGGTTTTAAAATCATTTCAAAAATCAAACCAGGTTGCTTCTTACAACCACTTTTGAAATAATAATTACTTTTCAAACAATGATTTCAATAGCGGTTTTAAATGCATTTCGAAACCGAACACAGGTTGCAAGCACTATAGAAATAACGTTATTTCAATAGTGGTGGGGACATTATTTCAATAGCGGTTTTTATAAATGTGACCACTATTGAAACAACACCCACTATTGCTTATACTAACTTCCCTTGAAGTTTTCTTTTTTAATGTCTTGACGAGTAGAAACGTTGGATTTAATAGCCATATTTGTAATGTAGGCAAGCCCATGAATATAAGCGAGAATTTAGTTCTTTTCTTGATCCTTTTCATTAAGAATAACCATATTTTCAAAAGAAAGTTTGTACACTCAGACCGTTATTTCAATAGTGGTTGCAACCTGGTTTAGGTTTTGAAATGCATTTAAAACCTCTATTGAAATGATTGTTTCAAAAATGACCTTATTTCAATAGTGGCTGCAGCCTATGTTCTTTTTTGAAATGACTTTCAACCACTATTGAAATGATTATTTCAACAGTGAACATTATTTCAATAGTGGTTGCAACCTGGTTTTAAAATGCACTCTCAACCACTTTTGAAATAATTATTTCAATAGTGGTCTATATTTCAATAGTGGTTGCAACAACGCATCTTTTTTCCTTTAAACAGGTCGAGGAATCTGCAGGGATTTATCAGTACCTTCTCAGGGGCCGAAATTCGGCCCCATTCCCAATTGAAAATAAGTCCAATTTTTCCCAATTTGGCAGTATTTTTTCCCAATTGGTAAACAATGCTTTTATATTTAATCATCTTGGGAAAACACTAAGTAAAATTGTCAGAATGTCTTTAATTTTCATCTATTTAATTCGTGTAGCAAAGGTACAGTCATAACAAGTGTTTAAAAACACTGTAAAAACATCGCCAACTTTTATTCCGAATTTCCTCAGTTTTTTTCTGAAAATGGTGATATTGTGTAATTATATAGATTTATTAAGTTGTTTCTACCTACTCAATTGATCTACGAGTGAATGGTAAGGACTGTTGGCAATATTTCAAATAGAAAAATATATTTTCAATGCATTATTACATATTAAAAGAGGACTTTGAGAAGATGTGTTTATGATCTCCAGACAGACTCTATAATGACCTAAATTGGAATCTCATACACAAATGTACTACCCTAAATTGTATAAACACTTTACACTCATTGAAGTCATTTTACTTTTATTAGTCTATTATTCATAATAATTATTGATCTTGTATGAAGTTGGATCATATTTAATTATTTTTTTGGTTGCCCATGCAAATTAGAGTTCATGCTGAAATGTTAAATGAATTACACCTGAATACATGATTTAAGCAACATTTTTGATTTTTCCCAATTTCATCAAAAAGCCGATATTTTTTTCCCAATTCCCCAAAAATGGCGTTTCCCAAAATAGGCTGATAAATCCCTGAATCTACCATATATGGATATTGTTGTCATTACGCACAGAGGTGCTTACAGCGAGCAATCGTCCAATCCAAAGAATGATGGTCTTACTACATGTTTATATTTTACTACAAACACGTGGGTCATGCAAATTTAGGACGCGATTTCAAATGACTGCGGGAAAGTCAACTAATAATCATTTTTAATGTTTTTGTGAAAAAAACGAAGAATAGGTAGTAATTAAGATTTTCCATGCTCACAATAACAAACAAAGTCAATTTTCCGTGTTAAATAGTACGTTAAATAGTACATTGAAATTCCGCTCACAAAGCTTCACAAGTAAATAAGAAACCAGTTTTTATAACTTGATATTCGTAAATTTGCCATGCTACTGGTGTTATTCGTTGTTACTTTGTTATTTGTTTACTAGAAATTAAAAGTTAATGCAGTTATAAAACACATAAGTCTATTGCTGTACGGTATTTAAATTCTCATGTACATTGATTATAGAACATGTATTGAGTAGCATATATATCGAAGTTGTATGCGTAGTAAACAATGTCAATATGACTACACCTGATCAGAGTCGATTTGTTTTGGAACAGGGAATAGTCACGTGAAATTCATACTGACTGATAGTGCAGCACGGGAAAAACTGCCAGGCTATTGTCAACAAACGGACTTATACAATGGAGTGGAGAAAACCCAAATTTTACCGTTGTAAAACATTTGTATGTAAATGTGAGCATGGAAGTAGTAGATAATGATGTACGTTTTATACCAAGTGTGTAAAATGCTTACAAAAATGCATCATGTCTTTCCGAGAGCGATTTCAAAAACTGGCCTTTTCGAAACGTACATGTAGTATTTTTTTGTTAATAATGCAACTCATTTACATGTAGCTGATTGGTCGGTTTGCAAGTCAATTTGGGTGCCTCATTTAGCATGTAAATTTATTCTGACGTTACAGAAAATAGTTTCCTCGACCTGTTAAATGAATCAGAAGAGCCATGTAGTTCAGTGTTTGCGTTTGTGTATAAAATAAAAATCAAATACTATAAAAACGCATGTGATATCTGAAGGAGTGAAAAGCACAACCCTAATATTTCCTTCTCTCACTTTTTCTCTTCGAACACTTGTATTTGTACCATCTGTAAACTTTCGATATGGCTAAGGGCTTAGTGGGCGTATCAAAGAGCTCATCCCAGGAGAGGTATCCTTCAAACACAGCAAGTTTCACAACAATGGGCTTTGTCACGCTCCTCTTTAGTAGTCTAATATTTTGCCCCTGAAAAGTTTCGGGCCTCATACTCCAGAATAGCCCCATGGGTTCAAAACCTATAAAAATATGTAGTGGTTTAATAACTAAGGTTTGAAAGAGATTGGGGAGATGATCGGAACCCTATGCGGATTCAAGGATTTATGGTTATATCCGTTACGTCTAAGATCATTTTGACGGCGTAGAACTTTGCATAGTCCCATTTGTGTGTTTTATAGACACTTTGAAGTATGCACTACCAGTATTTCATCAGTTAAAATTTATACAAATTTTCATTATCAAAAAACTTACAGAATATGAAATAAATTCATTCCTACTAGTATATTTATTCCTTTAAAATTCTTATGGCATCAGGCATTATATGGAACATCCTTCAATAAGCATATTTTCTTACCAGTGTACATTCCCTGTGCCGGAGCCTGTCTCTCCACCATCACTTGACCTCCCTGTGTTGGGATAAAGCATCCATAGGAACAGAATCTCAGGCGTTCCTCCTGAAATGAGGCTTTAATAGTAACGGGTATCTTTTGGGGTAGACCCTGCAGTTGAACATGAACTCTTTCGTCAACTAGAGCTTCCGTTGGTTTCACAATTGTTTTTACCCCAGACATTGTAACCGGTTTTTTTTATATACACGAATGAATATATACGAAGTGCATGTATATGGCATAAAGCAGCATGGTGATACTACATCTACATCTATGTTTAACCTGTACTTTGTCTCTATTTTATTCATTCAAAATGTGTCCCACTTTTATTATAAAGGTCATGCCTGTGTTGTAACACTCAAGGCGCATGCACTTACAAATGGCGCATTAATTTTTTTTCTTTTCTTAATTTTTTTCGTAAAATGAAGTTTTGTGATTTTGGATTTTTATATTTTATTAGAATAATTTTATCAAATTCTGAGGGACATCTGGATGGGCAAATACGTTTTACATGTTTTAATCATTCAAAACGTGTCCCACTTTTTTCATTGAAGGTCAGGCATGGGTCGTATAAAACTCATGACATATGCACTTACAAATTGTGCATTAAAATCTGTTGGTCTTTTATCTATTTATTTATTTATGTTTCTTTTTTGTATAGTTTTATGATTTTGTTTAAATTTATGTATTTATTATAATTATTTGATCAAATTCTAAGGCGGATCTCGAGTACCAAATTTCATAAATTCATTCTTACTTACTTATGAATTTTTTTTCATACGAATATAGAAGTCGAGAATTCATTCGTTTTTGCATAGAACTTGAGTTGAAATAATAACCTTTGTTTGTTTTTTACTCACATACCAAACAACGGTATATAAAGTCTGATAAAATTTCTTTTACGAACGAAAAAAAGCATTCCTCCAAACCAAAATTAAGTTTAGTTGCACATAAAGTTTGGACATGTTTTCATAATATGTATTTGAGGAATTGTTTTTTTTTTTTTTTTTTTGGGGGGGGGGGGGGGTTATTTGAGAAGAAAATAGTTAGAAGGTAGTTAGGTCCTGCATACCCTTTATTCCTCGACTACCTGCTTAACAAATATCCAATAAATGGTGTGTATTTGTAGCAACATATTTCTGAGATTTACACCGCATTTGCAGATTCTAAAGCCCATCTTATCTTTGTTAAACTTACTGGTATTGATGCTGCTTTTCTCCCTTCCCCAGAAAATATGATGACTCAGATCTCAAACTTACGGACTCAATAACATATTATGAATCTCTAGAACCTCTGTCTAAAACAAGTCTCATTTTTTCTTAACCAATTCAGTAAAGTGTCATCTTTTATTAAAGCTTTATTCAAATTATTAGCATCATTGTTTTTCCCATCCGACTGATATGGGCCCATAATTAATGTAACCTTCCCTGATGCAACAAATATGGGTTTTACAAGGAGTCGACTTCTAATGTATCTTTCAATGAATATGAATGTTCTATCAACTAGTAAGATGGCAGTATCATCACCAGAGGCAAGAAGTTCGCGCGCATATATTGTTGTATGTTTTGCTATGATTTCTTCTCTTGTAATGTGACTTAAGCCATTTATTATATAATATAATATATAATAATTCCTATCTCTCTGACTGGCTGAGATCCAACAATGTAGAAAAAATACAACGCTCTTTTCACCTGCACGTGACTATCCAGGTGAATGAAATATATGGAGATAACGAACAGTATTCGAGTCAAAAGTCCATTAAACATTACAAAATAGGTGCATAGCAAACACGGACCTCCAAAATATCAGAGGTGGGATCAGGTGCCATGGAGGAGTGAGCATCCCCTGTCGACCGGTCACACCCGCCGTGTGCTCCTTGTCATGATCGGGAAATAACGGGAAAATCCGTTGACAATTCAGTGTGTAAATAATGGCCTAACAATTAATATGAAAAACGTCAGTCAGTATTTGACTTAATGATAAATTGTATTTGCTGACAAGGTCATTGTATCGACCATAGAACTTATAAAATGATGACTTTAAACTAGACTGCTGATATTCTTGTTTCCTCAACTTGTTTGTCAATAATTTACCTCGTTTTAGAAATTGTGCATTAGAGCATGCTCTTGCGTATCGAATCAACTGAGAGATATAAACCCCGTATGCAGGTGACGAAGGTATAGTGCTGCATAAGTAAGGGAAGTTGACGATTGAAAAGTTAAAGTCATCACGTTTTGTCATAAAGCTTGGCTGTTAGATTACCATTAACGCCTTTTTCAAGTAAAATATCCAAATATGAAACAGATGTGTCAGACTGTAGTATCTTTTATCTCAAGCTCACCGGGATATAACGTATCGTCATAAGAAAGAGGCTTGGTTGAACATTTACTGGAACCCGCTATGTATCTTTGTTTGTAAGGATTTTTATGAAGATTCGGAATCCAATAAAGATATGGTAATTCAAATTCATTTTGGTTTTTTGGAATATTAAAAATATTCAAAACTGACATATGATTTTGAAGAATTTCTTCCTTAGAAGGAGAACTATGAGTACAAGTTGGATTACCTCTTGTAGAATTTAATCCAAGTTCCTCTAAAATACATTTTATATAATGAGCCTTACAAACAAAGACAATGTTGTTACCTGCTTTGTCAGCAGGGACCAGTACGTACTTATCATGTAATCTATCTAATTCTTTTTTCACTTCTGGATTATTGAATACAGAAGGATAGATGGTTCTCATATTGCCCCTCAATCTTTTAATGCGCGATTTTAACATACATCTAATATATATAATCCATTCTTACAAAGTGGCAAGGTCTTCTTTTTCATGTCTGGCCCATCGCCAGGCGTAACCCTTAACAGAATCCATAATATTTATGAAATTCCGACGCAAGTTGAAGGATAGGGGTTCCCTATATTTAGGACCTTTTAAAATTAGTGATCTAAGGTCATCATTATAAAGATAAATTTATGTTAATAAATTGTTTTAAGTAAAGTTTGTTTAATTGAACCCTGTATTTGATATATATTATATATGTTAGTATGTTTTGTTATTTAATTGTCAACCCGCCTTTTTTTTCGGGGGGGGGGGGGGGGGGGGGGTGTAATATGTTTTGTAATGCGCCCCACCAGGGGCGTCTTTGTTTTTACCCAATCATTGTACAGTATTTTGTTTATGTAAGTAGTTACATAACGCACCCTGTCGGGGGCCTCTCGATTTAGTTTCATCCAATAGTAATCTCAGCGAGATCCGTAGAGACTAAAAATTTTGGTCTGGTATCTCTACGGATCTCAGACCAGTATAACATAATCTCATTCGGGGTTTCGTGCCCGGGCTTCGACCGCTTGTTTCGATTACCTGGTAATATGGGCTGAAATGAATTGGCTTTCCGCTTCAACTTTTTGCTTTGGACATCCTTTTAATTCCCTATCACCATAAAACTTTCGTTTCTTACCTCTGAAAGGTTTAAATCCATCAAAATATAACGTTTTTTGATTTTTCATAGCAATAAGCTATTCGTTTAAACCTCCGATGCTGAAGAGTTCCAGCAATAGTCTGCTTCAAATACTTCGTATTATGGTTCATTTCTATAGGAAAATTAGTAGAACGAAGTACATGTATTTGAAGCAGACTATTGCTGGAACTCTTCAACGACTTCCACTCGGGTGAACATAATATTAGGGAATACATGTATATAATTTGGGGAAGGGGTTGTTATGGGGAATGGGGGTTGGGTGCAGGGGAGTTCCCCCCCCCCCTTCCCCTTCAAACAATTTTTTTTTCTGTATGTAAATTTTTACTTTTAATTTAGACTAGAAATATTCATTGAAAGACTGGTCCCCCCACTAATGGACTTTAATCCCCCACCCCTAATCCAACCCTACCCTATAACAAAATTGAAGTCAAAAGAATTCTCTTTTCGTGCGGGCTAATCAAAGATTTTTTCAGCTGTAATTTTTCCCTGATAATCCCCCCTTTTTTGAAAATCTATTATATTAAAGAACCCGACATTATTTCTTTTTTTTTTCATAGCAAGCAACTAAAGTAGATTTAAAAAATTACAAATTTATACGATAAAAAATGTTTATTTAACCCCGCTTCTCTCGTTGTATTTAGCTAGGACTTCATCAAATGTAAATAAGTAAGATGGCATGAAAACTTAATGATTTCGTCATTTAATTATTGAATCATTTAATAAAATAATTATTGCTGGGTTTTTTTCAGTCAATACAATGATTAAGTCACCTTCGAAGTACAATATTCACCTCGCTCTTCGGGCTCAGTGAATATTGTACTCCTCAGGTGGCTAAATCATCGTGTTGACCTCAAAAACACCAATAAATGTGTATTATTTTGTGACAAACTGGTCAATCAAAACTGTTCTTGCACGTTCTGTGCAACCTTTAAGAAATTGGCGCCCGTTGAAAAATGACCCCATCCCAAGAGAGTGAATAAATTTAAAAGAGGTGATCATGATTGATAACAAGGTTTTGGCCTAAACGTTAAAGTACCCTGCTTTTTTTTCTGACGAACTTAGGATGAACACGCAATTAAAATGTTATATAACAACATCACATGTGTTTAGATCTATTATAACTATTTGGATATTTTACAGAGAAAGACACTTATGGTAAACTAACAACAAAACTTTGATAAACATGATGGATTCAATTTTTCTTATGTCAACTTCCATTATTTGTGTTGCAAAATCCCTAACAAAAATTACTATAGTTAACTATAGTTTACTATCGTTAACTATGGTAAATATTTTGCTTCTATGATTTACTATGAAACTTTACTCTAAAACCTTTTTTGAGATTTTGAATCTTAAAATCAATAAAATGTGATAACAATAATGTTGAAATAATAAATAGGTGACTATACGACAAATATTTCTATTTAATATCAAAAATTAGAATGTATGAGTTGGGAAACATAAAATATAACAAAGCGAAATCCAAAGAAAAAATACTTTGATTTACTGTATTAAAAACTTTTATTTTCTGTAGTTAAAACTTTGATACTATAGTAAACTCTAGATAACTATATTATTTTTTGTTAGGGATACCATTATCACCTGCATATGGAGTATATATCTCCCAGTTGATTTGATACACAGGAGCATGTTCTACGTGTTTTTAAAACGAGGCAAGCTATTGCCAAATAAGTTGATGATAC